TTAAAGCTGGACATGGTTCCACAAACCTCCAATTCCAGCATTAGGGAAGCTGATGGTGGGGGATCACCAGGTGTTCAAAGCCAGCTTGGACTACATAATGAATTCCAAGCCAACCTGCATTATCTATGGAGAGTTTGTCTTAAAACAATCAAACAAACAAACAACAAATGTCAAACCAAAACCAAACCAACCCCCAAACAACAGCCAATGCCAAAATCAATCTACTAACCAAATCAAATTAAACAAAATCAAATGAAATGTCCAACAAAACCCGCAATTTAACCTTGCTCTGATAAGCCGTCTGGGATATTTCCAGCTGGAGGCCATGGGCATACTGCTACTGTGAATGTTCTTGCAGGAAATACTCATATTATTTGTTTTTTTTGTTGTTGTAGTTTTGTTTTTGTTTTTACGAGACAGGGTTTCTCTGAACTGTTTTGGAGGCTATCGGTCCAGCCCAGCCTCAAACTCACAGAGATCCGCCTGCCTCTGCCTCCCGAGTGCTGGGTATACTCATATTATGATTCTGCATTTTCTATATGGCTTTAGTGGGGCTACTGGGACATAGAGTATGTGTATCTTCAATTTCACAATATTATATTAAAGTCTTTTCTAAAGGGGACATTCCACATTGATTTGCACTGACTTATGCATGGCCTTTGGGAATTAGCCCCTCATAATTAGAGCAGTCTCCCCTTCCCACTGAGTGAATTTGCAAGGCTTTAAAACAGAGACTGGTCTTCCTTCTCAGAGGAATGGAAAATAAATAGGAAAAAAAAGTAAAATAATCAAACTTTGAAATATTTAACTGAAAAACAAGAATTGGGGTAAGCCTTTTTTTTTTTTTTTTTTTTTTTTTTTGGTTTTTACGAGACAGGGTTTCTCTGTATTGTCGGAGGCTATCGGTCCAGCCCAGCCTCAAACTCACAGAGATCTGCCTGCCTCTACCTCCCGAGTGCTGGGATTAAAGGCATGCGCCACCACTGCCCGGCAGGGGTAAGCCTTTTATTAATTTAATTTTCTGTCTTCCATATCATTAGTACAAATAATTATCACAGAATTTTCATATGATGGACTGGAATGTAAGTTACCAAAAACATAGTAATAATGATATTTAAGTATTGAGTATGTTGCTTGTATCAAGCACTCTTTCAAGATAGGGTTTTTCTGTATTGTTTTGGAGGCTGTCCTGGAACTTGCTCTGTAGACCAGGCTGGTCACAGAGATCTGCTTGCCTCTGCCTCCTGAGTGCTGGGATTAAAGGCATGTGCCACCAACGCCGGGTTTGTATCAGGCACTCTTTTTTTGCAATGTTAGAAAGGAGATGTGGGCCGGGCGTTGGTGGCGCATGCCTTTAATCCCAGCACTGGGGAGGCAGAGACAGGCAGATCTTTGTGAGTTCGAGACCAGCCTGGTCTATAAGAGCTAGTTCCAGGACAGCCTCCAAAGCCACAGAGAAATCCTGTCTTGAAAAACAAAAAACCAAAAAAAAAAAAACAAAAACAAAAAACAAAAACAAAAAAAAAAGAAAGAAAGAAAGGAGATGTGGGCTTGTTAGGCAAATGCTGGACCATTGAACTACATTACCTAGCTCTGTGGGCTAAAAACCCATTACAGTAGTGGTAGTGCACGCCTTTAATACCAGCACTTGGGAGGCAGAGGCAGGGCAATCTCTATGAGTTCCAGCCTGTTCTACAGAGTGAGTTCTAGGACAGCCAGAGATACACAGAGAAAGCCTGTCTCAAAAAACCAAACCAAAACCAAAAAATCCATTACACTAACTTAATCCTCATAATATCCCTAACAGGAAAAACGTTGTTATTGTTGTTATTATTAAGTGCCATTTTTGGAGGAGGTTCTCTTATTTGTTTGACACAGAGTCTCACGTAGCCCAGATTTGCCTGGAATTTTCAGTGTAGTGGATGATGACCTCTTGGATCCACCTCCTAAGTGGAGGGATTATAGACAAATGTCACCAAGCCTAGTTTCTTTTTTGAGGAGGAGTTTTGACAGGGTTTCACTCTGAAGCCCATGCTGGCCTGAAACTCACTTAGGTACTTGTCTACTTGAGTAGTCTCAAATTTGGAGTTATGTTTCTTTTTCCAGAGTTCTGGGATTACATCGTGAGCTACCACACCTGGTTTAGAAGCAAGCAAACAAGTAGGTGTGTGTGTGAGTATGTGTATATGTGTGTATGTATGTGTTGGTTCTGGTGATTGGACCTAGATATGCTAGACAACCCAGTGCTAATTCAGTAAATTAAAATAAAAAATGTATTTAATTTTATGTGTTTGAGTTTGTGCCTACATGTTTGCATGTGTACCATATGCATGCCTGTGGAAGTCAGATGAGAGCATCAGATTCCCTGGAACTGGCGCTACACATGCTTGTGAGCCACCATGTGGGTGCTGGGGACTGAACCCAGATCTTTTGCAAGAGTGGATGATACTCGGGCCGGGCGTTGGTGGCGCACACCTTTAATCCCAGCACTCGGGAGGTAGAGGCAGGCGGATCTCTGTGAGTTCGAGGCCAGCCTGGTCTACCGAGTGAGTTCCAGGACAGCCTCCAAAACAATACAGAGAAACCCTGTCTCGAAAAACCAAAAAAAAAAAAAGAGTGGATGATACTCTAAACCACAGGGCTACCTCTCTATCCCCTCCTCTGGCCCATTTTGTAGATAGTAAGCAAGGAGCTACACTGAAGATGATCTAAGCAGAATTAACTGAGAAACTATGAACTGATAACTTTTTTAAAAAATTAAGTATTTCACGAGTGCACACTGTGTTATTTCCATCCCTGTGTATCCCTCCTCTAATTCCTTCTGTGTCGCTTCTAGAACTTCCACAATCAGATTCACCACGTCTCCTTTAATTAAAAGGCAGGGTCCAGAATAAAGAGAATCTCTGGGGGTATAGCTCAGGGGTAGAGCATTTGACTGCAGAATAAAGAAAATCTCCGAGTTTGAGGCCAGCCTGGTCTAAAAGCGAGTTCCTGGAGAGCCAGGACAGTTACTGGGAGAAATCCTGTCTCAAACAAACAACAACAACAACAAAAAAAAAAAGAGATAGGTTTTGCTATGTAGCCCAAGGTAGCCTCTAATTAGGAACTTCCTGTTTTGGCCTCTCAAGTGCAGGGATTCCAGCGTCACCCTAGCTGGTTAAAGATGATTTTTTGTTTGATTGTTTGTTTTGTTTTTCGAGACAGGGTTTCTCTGTGGCTTTGGAGGCTGTCCTGGAACTAGCTCTGTAGACCAGGCTCGTTTCGAACTCACAGAGATCTGCTTGCCTCTGCTTCCCGAGTGCTGGGTTTAAAGGAGTGTGCCACCACCGCCCAGCTAAAGATGATTTCTTATGTTATCATTATTCTTGGAGAATAACTAACGACATAACTACTGACATCCCACCCAAGTCTGTATGTTCTCATGGCTGTAGATCTGCAACATGCATCCAGTGTCCTTTCTCCCTCCATCCTTGGGCATCCAGGGCAGGTGCTCCCCCTGAGCTATTCCCCCAGACCTTTCTATTTAAAGAGAGACAAGATGCATATATATTCTTTTTTTCAGCCCTCATTCTGTTCCCCTGTTCTTCGTGTCACCGGGATATCAGACATCTGCCTGTGTGAGGGGGAACCAGAAAGTATTTGGAGGCAAGGAAGGGGAGAAAGACAGGGAGGAGGGGTGAAGAGTACAAGGAGGGTGGGGATGACAGTTTCTTTAGGTTAGGTGATTTCTTTCTTTTTTGGTCTGTGGTCCATAGATTAAGAACTCCATGAAGTTTTGCTTCAGATCAAGACAAAGTAACATTTCCTCCAATTGCAAATGTAAACAACATAATTTAGTTTTAGCAGTACCTGTGACTTTGTCACCAATATGTTATAGCATCATAGTGTATGACACTTTCAGATTTCTTTAAAAAATGACTCATTTATGACTTCAAAATTAGAATGGTCATTCAATTAATTATTTGATTACCAATAAAAGGCACTATATTGCTATAGTATACTTTTTGCAATATATTTTTTTGTTTTTGTTTTTGTTTTTTTTGGTTTTTTTTTTTTTTTTTGGTTTTTCGAGACAGGGTTTCTCTGTATTGTTTTGGAGGCTGTCCTGGAACTTGCTCTGTAGATCAGGCTGGCCTCGAACTCACAAAGATCCGCCTGCCTCTGCCTCCCAAGTGTTGGGATTAAAGGCGTGTGCCACCAACGGCCGGCTCTTTTTGCAATATTTAGAAAACTTTTTTTTTCCTGTAGCACAGTTTTCCAGGTCCTTGATTAATACCATGTACCACCATTCTTGTCCTAAAATTTTAGGGGCTGGAAGGATGGACCTAAGATTAAGAGCACTTGTTTGCTCCTGTGAAGGACACAGGTTTTGTTTCCAACAACCACACAAAGGCTCCAGCAGTCTGTAACTCCAGTTACTCCAGAGATCTGTGTCTAGCCTTCAAGGACACCAGGCATATACACAGTACATTTTACATTCATATACATGAAAATAAACATCTTTAAAAAAGCAAAACTGTATTTTATTATAACTAGTTTTCTTTACATTTCTCTGTACCCCAGGTGATCCTCCTGGGTCAATCTGGCTGTCTGCCTCTGGATTCCTAAATGCATTTGGTATGATTTAGAAACATTCTGAGATAGAGGCCCTATATGTCGCCAACACTAAAAAAGTTAAGACTTCTGATTTATGGATGTTTTCTTTTTAGTTCTTATGGTCACCTGTCTACTAGGGCCTGAAGAGTCCTTTAAGTAGCTTCAAGACCTAAGGCTCTCTTGTAGTTTCCATATTCGTTCAGCAGTAGATCCTTGCTCCTCCTTCTCCATGTTGACTTTTCATTGCTTTTTTTTTTTTTTTTTTTTTTTTTTTGGTTTATACGAGACAGGGTTTCTCTGTATTGTTTTGGAGGCTGTCGGTCCAGCCTGGCCTCGAACTCACAGCGATCCGCCTGCCTCTGCCTCCCGAGTGCTGGGATCAAAGGCGTGCGCCACCACCGCCTGGCTTGCCATTACTTTTCTTCTTAATTTTAGTTGCACTTTTCTTTTTTTTACGATTTGAGAAAGTCAGTCCTTTAGCCTGTCGGTTAGCTCATCTGCGGATCGTTTACTCTCTTCTGTGTTATGGAATTCCTCGGGACACATTCACTTTCTGCTAGTATTTGAAGCTGAACAAAAGAAGAAGTAAGATTCCCCACTAAATCTGGATATTGTCCTGATTTTCTTTTTCTTTAATTTATTCTTCTCTCATAGTACATCCCAGTTTCCCCTCCCATCCTCTCCTCCCAGTCCATGCCTTCCACTTCCCCTCTCTTCCAGATTTAATCCTCTTGTTTTTCCCTTCGAAAAAGAGCACGCCTTACAGGCACATCAACCAAACATGGCATTACAAGTTATAATAAGACTAGGCACATGCCCTAATATCAAGGCCGGACCAGGCAGTAGGAGGAAAGCAGGCAGAAGAGTCAGAGACAGCCCCCTCTCCCACAAGAACAGCAAAGCTACACAACCATGACATATGCAGAGGGCCTAGGTAGCATGGATGGATCTCCAGGGTCCTTGAATGTCGGTTTTGTCTCTGTGAGTCCCTACGAGCCCCGGTTAGTTGACTCCGTGGGTCGTGTTCGTGTGGTTTGTTTCTAATTTTGTGACCTGATTTAAAATAAAAAAAATAAAAATAATACTCACTTGGTTAGCCCAGGCTGGCTCTTGAACTTATTCCTCTTCTACCTTGGTCTCTTGTGCTAGAATCACAGGCTTAGGTCATCACGCTTGGCTAATTAATATTTTTTTTTCAGTTGGAATGTTTATGAATGGAACGGATAATCAGTTATCTACAAAGGATATGGCTGAGATTATGTCTTTCTCTCCCTTGGTCTGCTGGGCAACCCATTTCATCCCAGGAGGTAACCACTGTCACCACCTCTGAGAGTGATTTTTTGACTATCAGCTCTCTCTCAATTCCTTCCTGGTCTGTGAGATGTGTGGCCTTTCCAGGCCCTCATGACCTCAAATCTGATTGACTTCATAAATAAACAATTATGTGTGTATATTTAATGTACATATACAAAATCTCTCTCCCTATGGCCTTCTGGGCCCGGTTTTCATCACATCGCTTCCTGGACGAAGAACCTGGAAGGGTGAGGGCAGGGGTTGGGGGTGACAGAAAAGAGGACCTGAGGGACTGAGGCCAGGGGTTGAGTGGTGGACTGCTGTGAAGCACTGTAGGGTTTCCTATTTTTATTTCTCCCACTAGGCCCCTGTCCAGTTCCGTCTAGCTCAAGCCTCTCCTTTCCTACGGGCCGAGACAGAGATATGAGAGATACAGAGACAGAGACGCCGAGGCACCAGCATCTCTCCCCCCCCACCGTCCCGCCCCACAGCTCTGAGGGACGTCCACTCGCAGCCAATGGCGTTCGCGAATTGCCTCGGACGGGCCAATGAGAGACAGAGGAGGGCGGAAGCTTGCCCCCCCCACTCTAGGCTTGGTTGAGCCGTGCAGGTAGGTCCGGGGCCGGGGGAGCTGCCGTTGGCACTAGTGCCCCGGGGGGTGGGGGCGCGGCGGGTCGGGGTGATGGTGGCGCAGAGTGGGGCGTCCCGTCCCGGGGACGTCGCGGGGTGCGCCGCCGTGGGGCGGAGAGAGGCTGAGGGGTCTCGGGAGCGGGCGCCGCCGAGGGCCCTGAAGGCGGCTGGGCTGAGGACGCGGGGACGCGTGTGTGGGGCGCAGAGACCCCCGGCCGGCGCCCACCCGCAAGGCCTGGGCCTCAGGCCATGGGCCGCGGCGGACCGGGAGACTGGAGGCCAGGGGGCCGGAGCGGGGGACGCCGAGCGGAGCCCCGGGGCGCCAGGCCGAGCGAGGTGGGACGGACGGCGGCGGGCAGGACGGGAAGCGGCATCCCGCGGGCCGCCCCCTCCTGAGGCAAGTCGGGGAACGGCCACGGGCTTCGGGCTGCGAGCCCCGGCCACCGCCGCCCCCTCCTAACAATGGGGACCGGGCCGGAGGAGTCGCGGGCCGCGGGGGGTTGGGGAGGCTCCGGGACGAGGGTCCGAGGCGGGGGAGGGGCGCGGGCTGGCGCTCTCTGGGATCTCGGCCCGGTGGTTCTGTAGAGCCTGGGGGTCGCGTCGCGTCGCGTCGCGGGGTGAGGGGTGGGTGGGAGGGGCGTTCAGGCTCGCCTGCGAGTCGGGTCAAGAGTCAAACTCCTCCGGTCCCCACCTCCCAAATCCGATGAGCGGTAGGCAAAGTGATGCCAAGTCTCCCTAACCGAAGTGACAAACGCGGAGACGGAGCAAAGCCCCAGTGCTTTATTTTATTTTTAAAACGGGGACCTCGACTCTGATTTTAAGAAATTATTTTTTAAACTGTTGAGTGTGTTATTTTTGTGTTCCTACTCGGGCAAGCCTCCATTTTAAGTGAAGCAGTAACTGGTTAAGCTGGAATTTTCATTCAGGCCTAAAGGCTCCTACAAGGAAGGGGTCATTTAGTCCACCCTACAAACTTAACACCTTCCATCTTCAAAATTAATTCCTCTGGGCTGCTCTTAAAGATCTCTGGGAAAGAAGGATCTTTTCTCCCACCCCCGCCCCCCCTTTTTTTTTACTTGTAGTACTTCAGTGAAAAATAGGTATGATTATGATGATGATGATGTAGAGTTAGCTCTGAAACTTATTTTAAGAAAAGTCAGGACATTGGAATTTCCAGAGAGGTTTACATTTATTAAATAAAGGTAGCTGTAGACTTTCAGGTGGCGAGTTAATAAAACATTTTCAGTAGTACTTATAAAATAATACTCTGGGAGAATAACTTTTCCTCTGGGATTTTGGTTTTCTGAATCTTTGATAAGTAATTTTCAATTATTTAAAATTTATGTTCTCCTTTGATGTAAAATATACATGTGCCCTTTCCAAGGGGAATTGTTTATTGTACCTTTTGTTGTTTTTGTGTTTGATACTGTCTCAATATGTGGTCTTGCCTGGCCCCGAACTCACTCTGTATACCAGGCCAGTGTTGAACTTGTATATAACAGCCTGCCGCAGCCTCTTCTGAGTGCTGGGGTTAAAAGTGTGTGCCACACCCAGCACTTGTACACTTTTTAGGATGGTAAGGCAGTTGGCACTTAACACCCTTCCCAGATAGAATAAGATATTTACATATTCTAGATTATTTCCATCTAAATGAAAAATCCTCCTTTTCAGCTCTTCCCAATTCCTTATCCGTGGTAACTGAGGAGATTTCTTAGTCTCTTCCTGCTTCTTTCTGAGTCTCATCTGAACTATTCCTGACACTATGAATGCTATTTGGATGCCTCTTAAGGTAAGATGTATTGGCTTTTCCTTATTACTTCATATGAGTGTTTTAGAACCAAGAATGTTTGTTTGCTATTTGTGTTTTGAGACAGGGTCTCATTGTAGCCCAGGCTGCCCTGAACTTTTTAGATTGTTGAGCATGGCCTTAACTTCATGAACATCCTGTCTCAACATTCCAAATGCTAGGATGTTCTTGAATTTACTACTCTTCAATTACCTTACAGGATACTCATCCTCAGGACTATTAGCTTCTTAGGATTTGTATTATTGCTCTTCTTGATTATTGGTGTTAAAATATTAATGAAGTTCTCAAATTAACTTTTTATAATGGTGAGTTCATTTTTTTTAATTTTAAGTTATTACAGCTTACATACTAGTAAAATTACGTTCCAAACCTGGTTAATGGGTTGGCAATTCAGACTTTGAGGTCCATTTTCAAACAGGTACTTTAGTGTCATATGAACTTGGGTGTGTTCCACTTTTGCAAATCAGTAGCTGATTCATGTGTTACAAAAGATGTGTCATTAACCATTTGTTTACTCTGAAGTTTCATACAGTATATTAAGGTTTATATGTACAACTCTTCAAATGCCTTGCTGCTCCTTAGGCCAGTTCATGAACCCTTACTTACTAATTTTTTTCAACAGGTAGCCATTGTGTCCTTTCATTTCACGGGGTGGAGGACAATGTGGACAGTGACCATCTGATAAAAAAGCTTTCCATGATGGTTATTTTTTGTCTCTTGTGGCTCTTTCTAATCTGTTTGGAGATGGCAAAAGAACTCTTGGTAGGACTAAGCAGAAGACTGAGCTGAAGGCTTGAAAGTGAGGAAGTGAGGAAGTAGCGGACGGACTAAGAACTGATAAGTAGTGCTAGAAGTCCTCTGTCAGCCTCGCCTTCCTTGAGAGTTAGAGAATGATTGCTTTGTGGTGATCTGCTCCGTGTAATTCCAGAATAGTGTAGTATATGTAACCTAATATTTAGACTTTTGGGAAATCTTGAGGTGATGTAGACTGAATCTTATCCCCATTTATGTTCTGGCTGCTCTTGTTGGATGAGTGCATATATTAATATAAAGGGGTCCAAAGTGACTCATTCTTTTCAGCCTCTTCCCATAGCACAGCTGTAGAGATTGAATGCGGAAACAGTCTGAAGTTCCGATTGCCTAGGAACTGGAGGACCTTGTATAACTGTGTTTTCATTTCCTTATATTTATTTTTATTTATGTGTGTTGGTGTTTTACCTGCATGTATATCTGTGTGACAGTGTAAGAACTCCTGGAACTAGAGTTGACAGTGGTAAGTTGCCATGTGGTTGCTGGGAATTGAACCCTGGGTCCTTCAGTAGTATTCTTAACCACTGAGCCATCAGGACTCTCTGACTTCTATGATCAGTATATTAGATTTCATGTTGCAATTTCCTTGGTTTCAAGGTATTAAATATATTGAAGCCTACTTTTTAAAGATGGGTGTAGTGTTTAAGGTTTTACCTCTAATTATTGGTAAACTTGGGGTATTACTAGAGTCCTTTGACATGGTGGAAATACAGTCAATGTCCAATAGTATGCATGAATTATTATCTGTTAACTACTTGAGATTGTAATTGTGTGGCTGCCTTAGTTTTACCAATCCTTTGATCCGTGTAAAAAACGTGCTAAGCCTAAACTTTGTTGTTTTGAGATAGAATCTTGCTATATAGCCTAGACTGGTCTAGTACTCTAATGACTCCACCTCCCAAGTGCTGAGATTTCAGGCATAAGCCATAAACAGTTTTTTTCTTTCACATTTTCCACTTTTTTTTTTAGAAATACAGAAGGGTTGTTTTGAAAATTTATCTTTTTTATATGCATTGATGCTTTGCCTGCAGGTATGCCTTTGTGACAGTGACAGATCTTGGAGTTACAGACAGTGTTGAGTTGCATATGGGTGCTGGGATTTGAACCCAGGTCCTCTGGAAGAATAGTCAGTGCCCTTAACTGTTGAGCCATCTTTCCAGCCCCTTCCTCCCATTTTTATACTTAAGAACATTTCAAAATATGTTTAATTTGGCAGAAATAGTACTTTTTTATTTTCAGATTGGAGTTGCATTTTATTTTATTAATTAAATTTATTTACTTGTAGCCGTGCGTTGGTGGCACACGTCTTTAATCCCAGCACTTGGGAGGCAGAGGCAGGCGGATCTCTGTGAGTTCGAGGCCAGCCTGGTCTACAAGAGCTAGTTCCAGGACAGCCTCCAAAGCCACAGAGAAACCCTGTCTCGAAAAACAAAAACAACAACAAAAAAATTTATTTACTTGTATTTTATGTATATTTTGCCCTCATGTGTGTGTGAGGGTGTCAGATCCCCTGGAACAGGAGTTACAGACAGGTGTGAGCTGCTGTGTAGGTCCTCTAGAAGAGTAGCCAGTGCTCTTAACCACTGAGCTATCTCTCCAGCCCTTTGTTGTTTTTTGAAACAGGATTTCTCTGTGTAGACCTGACTGTCCTTGAACTCTGTAGACCAGGCTGACCTTGGAACTCACAGAGATCCACCTGCCTCTGCCTCCCAAGTGCTGGGATTAAAAGTGTGCACTGCCACACCACCAGCAAGTTACACATTTTAATAAAAAGAAATGAGACTTCGCCGGGCGTTGGTGGCACTTGCCTTTAATCCCAGCACTTGGGAGGCAGAGGCAGGCGGATCTCTGTGAGTTCGAGGCCAGCCTGGTCTACAAGAGCTAGTTCCAGGACAGCCTCCAAAGCCACAGAGAAACCCTGTCTCGAAAAACCAAAAAAAAAAAAAGAAATGAGACTTTAATTAAAGTGTATATATTATGGCAAAATGTTCATTTTTCTTTTTTTGTATGATGTTGCCTAGGTAAGCATTACACTACTGAGTTTTAGCCTCAGCCCCTGAAAGTTATGTATTTCTTATGGCTTGTTTTCAGTTACCTTTTTTTTTATTCTAATTTAGTTAAAATGTTATATTTATTTATTTGTGCATACACAGATATACATGGGTGCACATATATGGGCATGTGCTGTGTGGAGGTCAGAGAATAGCTCGTGGGAGTTGGGCGTCTCCTGTCACCAAGTGGGTTTTCAGGATCAACCTCAAGTCATTAGGCCTGGCAGCAGTTGATTTTTTTTTAAAAATTTAAAAATTTTTATTTTGCCGGGCGGTGGTGGCGCACGCCTTTAATCCCAGCACTCGGGAGGCAGAGGCAGGCGGATCTCTGTGAGTTCGAGGCCGGGCTGGACCGATAGCCTCCGAAACAAAACAGAGAAACCCTGTCTCGAAAAACCAAAAAAAAAAAAATAAATAAAAATAAAAATTTTTATTTTGTATTATGTATGTATGTGGGTGTTTTGCCTCCATGTATGTGTAGAATTCTGAGCCACTGTGTGGGTGCCAGGAAATGAACCCAGGTCTTCTGGAAGGACAGCCAGTACTCTAACCAGTGAGCCATCTTTCCATTCCCCAAGTAATCATCTTTACATGCTGAGCTGCTTTGCTGGCCCCTAATTAAGTGAAATTATTTATTGTACTTTGTTTTTTTCTTTTTTTTGAGGTAGGTTCTCACTGTATAGCTCTGGCTGGCCTGGGACTCACCTGCTTCTGCCTCCCAAGTGCTGGGATTAAAGGAGTGTACTGCCATTCTTGGCAGGATTTTAATAAAAAAAAAGATTTTAATTTTATTTATGTGTGTGTGTCTGTGTGTGTCACGTGTGTGGGTGTCCAGGAAGTCCAGAATAGGATGTCAGATCTCCTGGAGCTGGAGTTATAGGTGTGGTTGGGTATCAAACTTGGGTCCTCTGCAAGAGCAACAAGTGCTCTTAACTGCTGCTATATCTCTCTAGTACCCAAGAATTTTTTTTTCTCCCAACATGGTATCATGTAGTTCAGACTGGTTTTGAACTTACGATGTAGCTGAGTATGACCTTGAACTCCCCCTGCCTTCACCTCCTAAGTGCTGGAATTATAGGGATGAGCTGCCATACCATGCCTTTTTTTTTTTTTTAACGAGACAGGGTTTCTCTGTGTTGTTTTGGAGCCTGTCCTGGAACCCGCTCTGTAGACCAGGGTGGTCTCGAATTCACAGAGATCCACCTACCTCTGCCTCCGAAGTGCTGGGATTAAAGGTGTGAGCCACCAATGCGCCATGCCTATTTCTTAAAATTATTTTATGTGTATGATTGTTTTGCCTGCATGTATATATGTGTATTACATGCTTGCCTGAAGTCTTGAGACATTCTGAAGAAGGGATCAAATCCCTTGGAACTGGGATTACAGACAGTTGTTAGCTGCCTTATGGGTTCTGGGAATCAAACACAGGTCCTCTGGAAGAACAGTGGCAAGTGCTCTTAACGACTGAGCCATCTCTTAGGCTCCCCCTCCCCCCATGCCTGATTTTTTAATGTAGTGCTAGTGATCCCAATCCAGGGGTTCCTGCATGCCAGCCTGGCATACATAGTGTGTTTCAGGCCAGTCAAGGCTACATAGTAAGACCTTTACATAGTATAATATTTAATGTGGGTGATGGCTGATCCTGTCATCAGAGTCATTTCTTACTAGTCTTTTGCAGTTTTCTTTGTAGACTTTTTCTGTCTTTTGCTCCTAAAAATCATCTGGCTTTCCTTGATCTTCTGTTTTCTCGTCCTGTGTAGGAACACTGTAGGAGTCTGTAGTGAGTTGTAAATCACTTACTGTCTGTATGCTGATGATTTGCAAATGTGTTTTCTGGCTCTGACTAGTTTTCTGATCTCCAATCACATTTACCTCCTTGATATTTCCCATTAGGTATTTCTTTACATTTCAAGTTTTTAAAAGATTTATTATGTATATAGTATATCTGTATGCCAGAAGAGGGCACCAGATCTCATTATAGATGGTTGTAAACCATCATGTGGTTGCTGGGAATTGAATTCAGGACCTCTGGAAGAGCAGCCAGTGCTCTTAAACTCTGAGCTGTCTTTCTAGTCCTATATTTTAATTTTTTAAAGATTTATTCATTTATTACATATACAGTGTTCTGCCTACATTCCAGAAGAGGGCACCAGATTGAGTTGTAGATGGTTGTGAGCCACCATGTGGTTGCTGGGAATTGAACTCAGGACCTCTGGAAGAGCAGTCAGTGCTCTTAACCTTTGAGCCATCTCTCCAGCCCCCTATATTTTAATTTTTAAAAACCAGTATATTAGATATCATTATGACATACTGGAACAAAATGGACTCTTAAAAAAGTTTTGTAAGTCCAGCCTCTTCTTCATATTCTGATGATGGACAGTACTATTATCATCCAGTCACTCAGGTTGGGTTTGTAAGTTCTCCAGAGTCTTGTCTTGTGTCATCTCAGTCACCACTTTTTTTTTTTTTTTGGTTTTTTTGAGGCAGGGTTTCTCTGTGGCTTTGGAAGCTGTCCTGGAACTCACTTTGTAGACCAGGCTGGCCTCGAACTCACAGAGATCCGCCTGCCTCTGCCTCCCGAGTGCTGGGATTAAAGGCGTGCGCCACCAATGCCCGGCCACCACTTTATTTTGTAAAATTGGGCTTATGTCTGAATTACTCATTTTCAAGTTGCTAGTTATTTATTGTGTATGTGAGTGTTTGTGCACATCTGCTATAATGCACTTGAGATCAGAAGACAATTTTCAGGGATCAGATCAGCTCTCTGCTACCACCACGTGGGTCTCTGTGAGAAAATTCAAGTTGTCAGTTTTGGCAGTGGTTGCCTTTACCTGCTGAGCCATCTCTCTGGCCTGCCACCTTCTTCGTAAACATTTTCCTGCTCACTCTCACTTCTCCCTTCTTGGTTCAGACCATTACCTTTTTTTTTTTTTTTTTTGCCTGACATTTGAGTTACCTTATTATTCTCTTTGATTGCCTTCTGTCTTCCAAGCTTCTATTAGAAGTGATCTGGTAAATGTAGGTCTTATTGAATGATCATATCCTTTTTCTGTTGTGGCTCTTCCAGCTTTTGAGGTGCAATTCAATTGCTCTAGCCAAGCACTATGCTCTTGTTGGCCTGTCTAGGATCATCTTGCATTCAGGTATAGATGTGTTGACAGTTTCTTTTGTGTACTCTGTTCTGGCCTCTGGGCCATTACACAGGCAGTTGTTTTTACTATCATCTGGAGACTTAGTCCTCTTCCTTTTGTTTTGAAATGTTTCTGTATGTCTATGTGAATGTATGCCGTGTGTGAATGAAGGGCAGAAGAGGGCATCAGATCATTTGGAGAGCTAGAGTGAGCTTTGTGAGCCACCCATGGTGGGTGCTAACTAAATGGATCTCTTGGAAGAACAAAAGTGCTCTTAACCACTGAGCCATCTCTCTAGCTCTTTCCTCCTGTTTTAACAACAGTTATCACGATAATATTACCAACAATAGAAGGTGTCACTGAATGTATCTTGTGGACCCCTGGTCCCTCAGTGTGTACAGTGCTTGTAGTGCCTGATGTGGGTGTCCATACCTAGGACATCTAATGTTGAGTAGCCAGCCACTAGTTTGCTTCTCTTTCACTTTTTGTAGTTCCTAAGTTCTTTGGGAGTGAAGACTGGTGTTTGTTCTTTTCTTTTTGTATGTGTTTGTTTTTTGAGACAGGGTTTCTCTGTGTAACAGCCCTTGCTGTCCTGGAACTGGCTTTGTAGACCAGACTGGTCTGAATTTCCCAGAGATGTGCTTTCCTCTGTCTCCCAAGTGCTGGGATTAAAGGTGTGGACCACCACTGTTCAGCTCTCTCCCCTCCCCTCCCCTCCCCCTCCCCTCCCCTCTGCTCCTTTCTTTAATTTCCATGCCTTTACCCTCCCTTCCCTCCCTCCCTCCCTCCCTCCCTCCCTCCCTCCCTCCCTTCTTTTCTGAGACACAGTTTCTTTGTATAACCCCAGATGTCTTGGAACTCACTCTGTAGGCCAGGCTGGCCTCAAACTTAGAAATCCATCTGGCTCTGCCACCTGAGTGTTTATTTTCATTTCTCGAACTTAGTAAATGTGTTTGAAATAAATTGTTCAAGGACATTGCCAGACTTGGGACATACCTCTTTATTGTTTTTGAGACAGTCTTACTCTGTAGCCCAGGCCGGCTTGGATTTTACTATGTAACTCGTGCTTTGGTATCCTCCCACTTTGGTCTTACAAAAACTGGGATATACATCTTTAGGATAATATCAATGGAAAGGCTGAATCAGTTATATCTATTTTCCAGTCTTGGGTTTACTCTTTGAAAGTACAGAGTCCAGGCTGATAAGTGTAAACAGCTTTGGGATGAGTGTTGGCTGTAGTTACATTCTTGTGGTGCCGAGTACCAAACCTATGATCGAATGCATATTAGGGAAGCATTATACTACCAAGCTACTTTATCAGCCCCTCTCCATTCTCCTTTTTTATTTTTCTTCCCAGTACTGAGGATTGAACCTGTGACTTCACTTATACTGGCATACACTCTGTCATTGAGCTATACCCCAGCCCTTTGCTTATATTTGCTTTTGATGACAAACCAGTGTAAAAAATAATCAGAATGTTGTCAACATTAGTAAAACATCGTGAAATAATGTAAACCTATCATATAGTACCAGCCAGGCAGTATATTTAGTAGGGGACTCTTACAATTGTTCTTACACATTAATGTGTGATATTTGCCCTCCCTGTCTCTAGAACATGTTAAGTGTAAGTTTAAGAGACAAAAAACACTGATATGTGGTATTTGTAACAATAGTTGTAGCCAGTTTATCTGCCTCTTGATCATGGTTATATATGACCAGCAGGGGGAGCCAAAGTTACTTATGTGACTATTGCAACTGATTTTCAAGTTAGTCAAGAGAAAGTAAAAACTTTATTGACAAAGAACATGATATAAGTTCACAAAAAGAAATTATAAATTATCAAGAAGCATATGAAAAACTTTTGATAACTAATCAAAGGTATACAAAGTAAATGATTTTCACCTATTAAATTGGCAAATGAAACTGTTAGAGATGCTAAAAATTCTCTAACACTGTGGGAATGTGTACTGGGCCAGATTTTTCTTGAAGATACTACTGGGTAGCACATATCAATAAGTTAAAAATGTCCTTCAACAGAGTTCTAGCTCCCCAAAGGGGGAAAAGATATTTGTAAAGATTTGTAAGTCAAGATACTCTTTGTAGCATTATTTATACTAAAGAAAATTGAGACTAGACCTAAATGAGCAGCAAGATTAATGGGAAGATAAAGATAATTACGTTTAAGGATTTAAGGGTAAATTTCTCTTTTTTTCTTTTTCTTTTTGTTTCTGGAGACAGGGTTTCTCTGTGTAGCCTTAAAGCTGTTCTGGAACTTGCTCTGTAGACCAGACTAGCTTTGAACTCATGGAGATCCTCCTGCTTTTGCCTCCTGAGTGCTGGGATTAAAGGTGTGGACAATAGTAAATATTTTTAATGTCTTTAATTGAATTCATGGAAACTGAAAAAGTTCATGCTACAGAACTACTGTACTGTGGTAGACCTTCGGTGCTGGGAATTGAATACAGGGATATTTGATTTACTTTTTTTTATGTGCATGGGTGTTTTTGCCTACATGTGTGACTGTGAAGGTGTCACAATTGCAGACAGTGGTGAGCTGCCTTGTGAGTGCTGTGAATTGAACCCAGGAAGAGCAACTAGTGTTCCCAACCAAGGGGCCATCTCTTCAGTCTCTGTTTACTTTTAAAGATTTATTTTTGTATGTGTCATGTGTATGCAGTGCCCAGGAAGGCCAGAATATGGCATTGAGTCCTCTGGAGTTGGACTAATAGGTGGTTGTGATCCAATTGAAATGGGTGTTTGGAACTGAACTCAGGATCTTTGGAAGAGCAGTTAACATTGTTAACTGTGAGCCATCCCTCCAGCCTCTATTTATGTTTAGGACAGGATCTCACTGTGTGGCTGTGGTGGGCCTGGGACTCTTTGTTGACCATACTGGCCTTGAACTCACAGAGACAGAGTCTGCCTTTGCCTTCCAAGTCCTGGGATTAAAGGCATGCTCCACCATGTCCTGCTGAAATTTAATTAACTTATTTGAGACAAGACTCTCAGTGTGTAGTTCTGGCTATCTGGAACTTACAGAGATCTGCCTGTCTCTACCTCCTAAGTGCTGAGATTTGAAAGCAGGAGCCAATATGCCTGGCTGAAATAAAATATTTTGAAGATTAAAAAAATGTTTTTTAGTTGTGTTTATTTTACTTGAGGAGTATGAATCTTTTGCCTGCATGTATGTATATGCACCACCATACTGAGTGCTTATTGCTCTCACAGGTCAGCAGAGAGAGGGTGTTGGAGCTCCAGAAACTGGAGTTACAGATGGTAGTGGGCTACCGTGTGGGTGCTGGGTCCCCTGCTAGAGCAAGTGCTCCTAACTACTGAGCCATCTCTCCATCTCCTGAAGATTGTTTTATTTTTGTTTCTTGAAAAGCTTCTTACTATGCAGCCCTGTACTGTCTGAGACTCTGTTTAAACTAGATGGGCTTGATGGTTCCTGCTTGTGTTCCCAGAGTGCTTGGGATTACAGGTGTTCACCTTCTTGTCTGCTTTTTGGAGAATTTTTTAATCTTGAGAATGTCAGGAGCAAAGCTACATTAAAGATTATAAGCATGAAATAGAAGACTGTATTTATTACACTTATAGAAATAAAGAGAATGGGATGAACTTTGCCAACAACTTACTTGCTTTAGGAAAGGCGGAACCAATTTGCTGACAACCCATTGTGTCATGTAGTAACTAGAACCTTCGTTGAAGCTCTCATCCGTGTCTGTCTGGATGACACTAAGGAATGTTGGGGTGAGGTTT